GAGGATATTTCCCACTGATTTTTAGAGATTGGAAGGGAGGGGGACAGACAGAGGGAGAAACATCGATGTGAGAGAGACTCATCGACTGGTTGCCTCCCACACTCGGGGCTAGCCTGCAACCGAGGTAGGTGCCCTTGACTGGAGTCGAATCCTGGACCCTTCAGTCTGTGCACCGATGCTCTATCCACTGAGCCAAACTGCCTCAGGCTAAATCCTTTTTAATTAAAAAAAAAAAAAAAGAATTTAAACAAAAGGAGAAGGAAGTTTGGGGGAAGAGGGTGTGTTCTGGGAGCTTCCTCGAATGGCGGCGAGCACAGAACGGTCCTGCCGCCCGGAGCACGTGCAGCCTTCACCCGCCCGGGAGGAGCTCTCCTTCCCTTTCTGTGAAAGCTGCCCCTGCATCCCGCCTGGGAGCTCAGGGCGCCCGAGTGCTGTACCTGCCTCTGGTCCCCTCCAGGGAGGCCCGGGGCCCAGGGGAGCAGAGGTGGGCTGGCCACACGTGTGGCTCACCCAGGGGAGGCAGAGGCCGAGTCAGCAGGAAGGGGACAGGGCCCTGGGAGTCCCTGGGGACACAGCGCTCTGGGGGAAGCCCCTGAGCCTGCCCCATGGAGGCCTCAGCCCTGGGGGCCCCACATAAGAAAACCCCTGTTTCAGATGAAGAGCCGCTAGACCAGTTCTGTCTGCATTTGCACTCCTCCAAACACAGCCCCCTCTTCAAAGAGGGCGTCCACACTTAAAAACGGTTCCTCTAACGAACAACAGAGACTGATGAACAAAAACAGACCCAGAGAAAGAGAAGCAGCGACCAGACTGTCAAACCTCAGAGGGAAGGCAGGGGAGGGTGAGGGGAAGAGATCAATCAAAGGACTTGTGTGCATGCAGGTGGGCCTAGCCGGTGGCCATGGACAACAGGGGGCTGGGGACATATGTGGAGAGGGGTTTGGGACGGGAATGGGGGGGATGAGGACAATTCTGTGATACCATAATCAATAAAATTTTAAAAAAGGGAAAAAAAGAATGGGAATACTAAAAAATAATAAAATAAAATAAAATAAAAACGGTTCCTCTTTTTCTCCCCATGTTTTCCTTGTGGAAGATTTTAAAACGAAAGTTGTTGGAGCAGTTGAGTGGTCACAGCCACCACCTCCCTGCAGCACTGTTAGCAGCTTTCCTATTTGTTTATCCCTCCCTTTCTCTGTATAGGGTATTAATATACCTACACACACATGCACACATATGTGTGTATATCTGCTCGCATATATACATATATGTACATATGTGCACGTGTTATACAATATGCGTGCCAATTTGCATATATGTATGTACACATATATGCACAATAGGTAGGTGTATGCGTGTATATACACATATGTACATATATACACACATACACCTACCCATTCATCTACACATACACATTTCCTCTGAACATAAACTCTTTGAAGATAAGGGCACCATAACCTTCATCCTTAAGTACTTTAGCATTTCTTGGAACAAGGACATTCTCCTACATATTCTCTAAGTCTTTTTTTATTTATTTATATTTTTATTGATTTCAGAGAGGAGGGGAAAGGAGAACGAGATAGAAATATCAGTGATGAGAGAGAATTATCCATCGGCTGCCTCCTGCTCGCCCCACACTGGGGATCAAGCCCACAACCCTGGCCTGTGTCCTGACCGGGAATCCAACTGTGACCTCCTGGTTCATAGGTCAACACCCAACCACTGAGCCACGCCAGCTGGGCTCACCATTTGTCATAGAGTATGCTCTCTGCCACGTGGTAAAGCTGGGTGCCATGCACATAGCATGATCAGCCTGAGGTCTTGACATGTCCCCCAAGAGGGACTTTGGTGCTGCTTTAGAAGTTTCGGGCACGTTAAAATCTCTGTCCAGTGTCAGTAGGAGGGTGGCAACGACTCAGGATACAAACAGACGGGCCGGTGACCAGTTTGTATGTTTAGAAATGACTCCTCCAAGGTATCTGCACCTGGGAGCCTAGGCTGTCCTGCTGGATCGGACAGGTTCGCATCACCAGAACCTGGGCCAGACCTTAATACTTCAGAGTTATTAACGACTGCCTCGAGGGCAAGTCCGGGTGGCCGGGCTATGACAAATGCATGGTCAGGAAGGAAAACAAGGGTAGTCAACCATCTTTAGAAATGTCCCAACCACTGCCTCTCACAACAGAAAGACCTCGTTGGTCACGCAGCAAATCCCACCGTGGTCCCTTGAAATCCCTCTGGTTTCACCCCTTACAGGGGATTTAAAAGGAAAAATGTGTAAAGAGCATTCGACATCAGCAGTCAGCTTCCCTGTGAACTGCTCAGCTTCTTAAATATTTCCTCCATGTTCCCTTTCCTTCTAGTCACTCAGACGCTGGCTTCGGAGTCTGTGGCACGTGTGGAAGTGCAGATAATTCCAAAGCCACAGCAGAGGTCAATTCCACTGGGCAACATTCATATTCTTGTGCAACCATCACCAGCATCCATCTCCAAACCGAAACTTGGTCAAATAATAGCTCCTCCTCCCTCTTCTCTCCAGCCCCTGGCGACCACTGTTCTGTCTCTGTGAACCGATGGCTCAGGGACCTCTCGGGTGTGGGCTCACAGGGTGTCTGTCTGTCTGTCTGCTGTGCCGGGCTTTGGGTAACACCTCCGACAAGAGGTTTTCCCAGGTGAAGCTGTGCGCTTCTGATGCAAACCATCAGGAGGCCTGCCCGCCTCTCCCCTCAGCTGCCCTCTGCCCCCCACTCCCTCTGCCCAGCTGCCCAGCCTCCCACCTGCCAGGGCCTTTGCACGCAGACTCCCCCGTATCTTCTGGATTTCGGCTTCCGTGTCACCCCCTGCGTAGATGCTTCCTGCGTACCCCAGCCTCTTCCCCATAGTCACAATCTCTTTTTCATTTCTTCACGACGCTCACGCCAACCGGACACGATCATGTTTGGTAGTTGATGGCCTGTTTGTCGTCTGTCTCCGAGGTACACGCCATGGAGCAGGGACCTGTCCCCCGTGGTGACCCGTTCCCTGCTGTGACCCCAGGTCCTGGCGCGGCCTTGGCTTCTTTCCCCTCGCCGCTCTAACAAAGGACTGCACACTTAGGGGCTTACAAACAACACAGACAACACAGGCGCGTCGGCTGGCGGGTCCGGCGGCCGGGGGTCTCGATCAGGCTCCGTGGGCTGAGATGGAGGTGTGAGCAGGGCTGTGCCCCCCAGAAGCGCCAGGAGACAAGCTGTGTCCTTGCTTGTGCAGCTCCCAGAGGCCCTGGCACTCCTGGGCTCAGCCTGGCATCGCCTCCTTCTGTCTCTGGTGCCCTGTCTCTTGTCTGCGGCTGACCCAGGCTGGCCCCGGGGGGCCATTCAAGCCACCCGGGAACTCCCTCTCCTTGACCGGCCTCACACACACTGCACAGCCCTTTTGAAATGCAAGGTCACAGAGTCACAGGCTTCGGGAATTAGGAAGTGGGCAGGTTTGTTTGTTTGTATGTTTGTTTGTTTTTTGGGAGGCGTTATTCTGTCGCTAGAGGACTCCACCAATACTGGTGGATCGAGTGGCTTCGTTTATGACCGGGATGAATCCCAGCCTGGCCCGGCCACTCCCTGGCTGGGAGACGTTGGGCCCGTCCTCTTTCTCCGAGCTTCTATTTCCTGCTTCCTTAGTTATCCTTCCCCCCCGCCCCCCAGCACCCACTGTGTACCCCACTCTTGGAAGACACTGGGGATGCTGAGACAAGGAAAGGAGACCCCGGCCTTCCAGGAGGTGGGCTTCGGGGGAGGGGCCCGGGATGAGAAAAACCCACATTCCAGGTCACCCCGGAGGACTGTCCAGTCAGAGTGGGTGGGCTGCCGAGAGGGTGACATCTCCCAGGGCTCCTGACGCACGAGTAGGAGTTTATGCGGTAGACAAGTGGAAAGGGCATGACGGCCTGGGACAGGCCGCCGGCCTCTTTGAGGAACTGTGAGGAGTGTGGCTGCAGCCCGGTGGGGGCGGAACCAGGCCTCGAAGGCCACGGCCAGGAGCTCTGGCTCTGCCCTCAGCTCGGGGGACCACAGCAGGTCTCCAAGCACAAGAGAGACGTGTGCGGCTTGGCCTCTGGGCCACCACCAGGGAGAGAGGGGGTTGAGGGTCTAGGGTCCGAGCCTGAGATGGAGGTGGTCTGGACTGGGCAGGGACAGCGGGGATGGGGAGAAGAGGACAGCCCAGCTGGTGTGGCTCAGTGGTTGAGCATCGACTGGTGAACCAGGAGGTCACGGTTCGATTCCTGGTCAGGGCACAGGCCTGGGGTTGCAGGCTCCATCCCCAGCGTGGGGCGTGCAGGAGGCAGCCCATCCATGATTCTCTCTCATCATTAATGTTTATGTCTCTCTCTCCCTCTCTGAAATCAATATATATATGGAGAGGGAGAGAGAGAGAGGGAGAGGGAGAGGGAGAGAGGGAGAGAGAGGACAGCTCGGACAGATCTGAGATTTAGGAAGTGGGAAGTGGACAGGGTGAGAGATTGAGAAGGGGTGGGTGAGGCAGAGCTCAGAGGCAGCTGCGGGGGAGACGGGCAAGATGGAAACGTGCGTGGGGGTCCCTTCCAACCACTGAGTGGCCCATGCCTGGCCCGGGTCGGGACTCGGTGAGAACCCCAAGAGGCTGAGCAGCAGCCCAGTGGACCCGCAGGCCTCTCCCCTGGAGGAGAGCTGGGTCGTGACCGCCAAGGGCACAGGTGGCCTCGGTGCAGCTGAGGGCTGGGGCCAATAGCGTCCGTCCGCGTCCTCTCATCCTTCACCCACAAACACCGAGGCTCCAGGTCGGGCTGTGGCCCCATCTCCCCATTTCCAGAGACGCATGGGGATGTGGGCAGGGACACAGGCGACAGACCCCGGGGAGCCGGCCTCCAAGAGGCCCGGTTCAGGGGGGATTTTGCAAGTCTCTGGAGACCCAGAGGGTGGGGTGGGGGTCCCCTCTGATGGTTTCCACCCACAAAAAATTTCCTCCAATCTGGAGGAGGCGGGAGTTCTTCTTTCAGAACGTCAGTGTAATGCTCCTTGCTCCCCGGTGACTAAGAGTGGCCGAGGCTTGTGGGTGTAGCCAGCGCTTAAATAGCAGGCCTGGTTGTCCTGGGGCGAGAGCAGACACCTGGCTGGGACACGGGACAGCAGCATGGCCGGCCTGCAGACCCCGCTCCTGGCGGCCCTCCTGCTCCTTGCTCTGGCTGTCCATGCAACCGAAGCAGGTGAGGCTGGGAGGGGGGAGGTGTGGAGGGGGAGGGCTCCCTGCAGAGCCAGGGTCGCGCCCCGGGCATCTTCCTCGTGGCGTGGAAACACGTGGGACTGAGGGCAGACACCCCAGTCTGCTGCTGGCTCTCAGACTGGTCCCATTGCTTCTCTGGGCCTCCTCGTACACATCTGTTAGATGGGTAGTCTTGAAGCCTTGCGTGTAGAATCGGCTGCAGCCAGGTTGGGGGTGTGGGGGGCATGGCCCGGGGTCCTCCCCTCCAGAGAACTGGAGCAAGGGGCCCTGGGGAGTGGAGAAGGCGCTGCTGACGAGGGCTTGGAGTGGAGCGTAGGAGGTGGGGCCTGAGATATTCTCATGGAAAGGCAGCGGGCCTGGCCTCCCACCTCCCTATTTTTGCTCCAGATCCTGCTCTATGATCCTGATTTCTTTTTTATTTTTATTTTTAAAATTTATTTCAGGGAGAGGGAGTAGGAGAGGGAGAGGGAGATAGAAACATCAATGACGAGAGAGAATCATAGATCGGCTGCCTCTTGCATGCCCCACAGTGGGATCAAACCCGCAAGTGGGGCATGTGCCCTGACCGGGAATGGAACCATGACTTCCTGGTTCATAGGTCCACGCTCCACCACTGAGCCACACCTGGGACCCTGATTTTTTCAGGCCAACGTAACTGCTCCTGCCCTGGATTGGGTAGGGGAAGGAGCACTGGATGGGAGTCCGGCAGCGAGGAACAACACCTGCCAGGGATGGGGTTCCTGTGTGCTTTCCCTGCTTTAGAGTCCACACCCCCCCCCCCCCCCCAAGTCAGGGCTGTTATTGTCCCTCCGTCAGAGACGTTCAATGACTTCCCTCAGTGGCCGGTGACTCAGGGCAGAGTGGGCCTTGAACCCTTGTCCTGGCTCTTCAAGGCCGTGCTTTGTGTCTGGGGCAAGTCCTCCCTCCTCTGGACACAATCTCTCCACGGAGGGGGTCGGCGTGGCTGTGCACTGAGCGGGCTTCTGCATTCCCTGGGGTCCGTCACTCTCCGGCTCAGCAGAGCTGGTGAGCAGCATCCACAGGCTCCTGGGTGATGCTGACACCCCCAGGGACCTGGTGGGTGGAGCCAGTGAGGGTGGTCTTATCAGCAAGGCCCCTCCCTGTTCAGAGGCCCTGGGTTCCCCCTGAAGCGTAGGGCATCGTGGATGCTCAGCTGTCGACATCCCTCTCACTGGACCTGACCCACACGGAGTAATGACATTGGGCCCTTCCTGGCTTCCCAGAGGCCCAGGATCCGGGGCATGGAGGGCCCAGAATCCTCTGGACACTGACCTTCTCTGTGGAGCCGAAAGGCTGGGTCAGAGGTGGGGCGGGGAGACGTCCCTGGGCCCAGCCTGGGTCCCTCTGAGCACCCTCTCCCCCAGGTCCTTACGGAGCCAATGTGGAGGACAGCGTCTGCTGCCGCGACCACATCCGCCACCAGCTGCCCCACCGCCTGGTGAAGGATTACTACTGGACTTCAGACTCCTGCCGCAAGCCCGGCGTCGTGTGAGTGGGGCGCTGGGGCGGCGGGAACCCCACGGAGGCGGCCCAGGAGGGCCCGGGGGCATTGGTAGACAGGCTTTGTCTCACTCCCCTCCGCTAGGAAGTGGATAGAATAACCCGACCTCATAGGATTGCTGTAAGGATGTAGTAAGAAAATTAAAGTTAAGAATTCAGACCAGCTCTTGCCGGTTTGGCTCATTGGATAGAGAGTTGGCCTGTGGACTGAAGGGTCCTGGGTTTGATTCCAGTCAAGGGCTTGATCCCCAGTGGGGGGCATGCAGGAGGCAGCCGATCAATGATCCTCTCATCGTTGATGTTTCTCCCTCTCCCATCCTTTCTGAATCAATGAAAATATATATTTTTAAAAAGAATTCAGGCCAGCTCCTGGCACAGTTATACAGGACCTACCATCTGCTGTGCATCTAGTTTATCTGAACTCAGCGAATCTCATCAGAATCCTATGAGGTTGGCCCATGACGATCATCCCTATTTCACAGATGTGGAAACTGAGGCTCAGAGACGTAAAAGGACTTGCTAACAAGTTCCGGGGCTAGGATTAACCAGATAAGTTGGCTCCAGAGTCCATGCTCTTGGCCCCTGCCCAATACTCTCTTGCCGAAGGCGATGTTTGCAATGACCGTGAGAGTCTAGGGTAGGGGTGTCGAACTCAATCAGAGAAGGGGCCAAAATCTAAAATCCAGCCTAAATCGCGGGCTGAATGGTTTACTGAACAGTCATAAACTGTCATTGTGATGGAAACACAACAGAGTGCAGTGATGACAGCGCGGTGCGGGCCACATTGCAAGGCCTGGCGGGATGGATTTGGCCCGCGGGCCTTGTGTTTGACACATGTGGTCTAGGGCATTCGGTTCCCTGGCCTGACCTGGCACTAGGGGCTGAGGGACTACCGGGGAAGTTCTGATGATCACCCCCCTCCTCCTTAAGAAATGTGTTTGCATACAGCAGGTGGCTCATAAATGCTAAGCCTCTCTAGATAGAAGGCACCTCTCCATACAGTAGGTGACTCATAAGTGCCAAGCTTGGCAGGCGGGATGTGGCATCCTCCCTGCATGTCTCATTGTCCCCCTGGCATCTCCTCCTTCCAGCCTGGTAACCCTCAAGAACCGGGAGATCTGCGCTGACCCCAGGGTGCCCTGGGTGAAGAAGATTCTCCAGAAGCTGGACTCCTGAGGAAGGATCCTGCCCTGGGCTCCTCCGGGAAGGCTCACGGAGCCCAACTTTCCTGCCATGACAGCTGCTCCCCAGCCAGGGACTCTGTACTCCCCCATCTCCATCCCTGCTCTCATCTCCCCCTCTTACTCCTCCTTCCCAGCCTCTGCTCCGCTGAAGCCAGCGGGTCCGAAATTCCCGTCAAAACCCTTCCGTGGCTCCCCAGTGCCCTAGGCTGAGGTCCCAGTGCCCGGGCTTGGCACCAGGCCCTCTGGATCTGGGTTGCATCTGTCTCCAGCCCCATCCCATCTCCCTTCATGCACGTTGGATCCCAAGCCCACGCCAATGACATTTCTACTTCCCGGCCTTGGCCTGTGCTGCTCCTGACGCCCAGAGTGACTCCCATGCCCGCACAGCCCCCCAGCCCAAGGCGTCGCCCAGCCTGAGCAGCCAGTAACTGAGTTTCATTTTTTTCTTTTTTTTGATGTTTAGGTTGGCAGAGTCCGTGTCCACTTCCTGCAAATGAGTTCTAAGTGACTCACTCTTTCTAAGTAGTCCGTTTCATTTTTTAAGACTCCCACTGGCCCTCTGCCCTCCTTAACAGCCCTGGTGACCGTCTGCCCAGGATCCTCGGGATTGGAAAGTGTCCTCCAGATCCACACCCGAGTCCCTCTGGCTCCTGGCCACCAGGACAGAGCACAGGGCCTGGCTCAGAACCAGGGCCCACAAGTGGCTGCAGACGGACGCCATAAAAGGAAGGTCCTTCTCCCGTCCTCTATAGAGGCCCTCACACATCCCTGCCGAGGCTGCAGGTCCTCTCGGGAGCTGGGTCCCTTGTCCAAATTCACCTTTCTTCCCCCACCTTACCTCTGCCCTTCCTGCTTCCCTCCCTCCGGGTTTTCGCTGCTCCTCCAACCTCCAAAACCCAGGCCTGACCTTTCCAAGAGCCCCCGACTTTCCCTTCCCTTTCCCTTCCCGTTTCCCCAAATAGCTGGTGACCAAATTCACGCAATGGTGTGAATGACTCCCCTTGGCTAGATAATTTGTATGTGAAAAGGCAGCCCGGCCAGTGTGGCTCAATGGTCGAACACTGACCTATGAACCAGACCACAGTTCAATTCCCAGTCAGGGCACAGGCCCAGGATTCGGGCTCGATCCCCAGTGTGGGGCATGGAGGCAGTGGATCAAGATTCTTTCTCTTTGATGTTTGTATCTCTCCCTCTGCCTTTCTGAAATCAATAAAGATATTTTTTTAAAAAGAAGGCAAATGCTTAAGAGGCATCGTGTGGATGACTGGGAGGATGTTAGCTGTGGGGAAGGGGAGACTAGGGCTTTCCTGGCCCTGGGGACTGGGTTTAGCATGCGCCCCTTCCCTCGTGTCCTCCCAGGGTACTTGTCCCGGGGGCCAGATGCACCGGAAGGGTACAGGTCAGGAACTCAGGCAGACTAGCTCTCACTGGCTGGGGGACCGGAGCCAGCTGCTTTGTCCCTCATCCTCCGTGTCTACCTGTGGGAACAGGGGTCAGAAAGCCCATGTCCGTGCATGTGGCTGAGTCACTGAACTGGGAAGACACAGCGGCCCAACCTCATGAGTAGGCCTGGGAGAGAAATGTCAACCCACTCATGACAAGATGCTCAACATGAAATGCCACCTCACACCCATGAGGATGGCTATTACTAAGAAAAAACCAAGGCTGGCGAGGGTGTGGTGAAATTGGAGTCCTTGGGATGGCGGTGTAAATGTAAACCGGTGCCGTCGCCATGGAAAACCGCCTGGTGGTTCCTCACATCAAACATGGCACCTAATAGTTCCGCTTCCGGGTACACAGAAAAGTACTGGAAGCAGCCCTAACTGGTTTGGCTCAGTGGATAGAGCATCGGCCTGCAGGGTGAATGGTCCCAGGTGGAGCTGGGCAGTTGGGGTGGGACAAGGGAAAGCTAGGCCAGGCGGTCCCTCCCCACCTACCATTCTGGACCCCCCAGGAGTGCCCTGGGCTCGGTGCCACACCCGCAGCTGTTCCTGTTCTGCTTCCAGCCAGGGGAGAATCCCTAATGCCCCACAAGACATGCTGTCTGGGGCACCCAGGAAGGTGTGGGCAGGGACACCCCCATCCCCCCACATCACTGACCAGAGGAAACTTTTTAAAAAAGTTTTTATTTATTTCAAAGGGAGAGGGGGAGAGAAACATCAGCGATGAGATGGACCTGCTGCCTCCTGCACGCCCCGCCCCATTGGGGATCAAGCCCACAATCCGGGCCTGTGCCCTGACCAGAATCGAACCATGACCTCCTGGTTCAGAGGTCAAGGCTCAACTACCAAGCCACTCTTCCCCTCCCTACTGCCCAGCTGCGGCTCCACTTGCCTTTAAAAACAATCAGAAAGGAATGTGGAGCAGCACCTGGGTTGGCAACCAATAACGTTTCACATGATGTCCGTCTTCCCCCTCCCACTCTCTAAAAACCAGTTGGGGAGATTAAAAAAAAAAAAAAGCTGCCCATGCCCAGTGCCTTCTGTAATTACTTATAAATTTCAATGGGCCATGTGGCCAAAGGAACATTCGATTAGTCTACCAGTTAACAGATCTGAGAATGACAGGATTTGCATCTTTTTCTCCAAAGGGCAGCTACTTCTCTTCCCAAAACAGCCATCACTTTAGAGGCACCCAAAAAGCATTGTTAGCTGCCAAAAAAGGCGAGGTGGCTCCTCTTTCCTAAATGAAAACAGAAAGAAAGAAAAAAAAATTAGAATCATATTCTTAAATTTAAAAATTACACATTTTAATGCACTAGATGTTTCCTGCATGGTTTGCCTCCTCAGTCATGGTCCAAGGACTCTGAGAAGTCGTAGGAATATGCAGGCGCAGACACAAGGCCCGGCTTTCTCTCCAACGGCGTGGAAAGGGACTGTACGTCACGGGGCGGAGCCCTATGCTCCCCTACGCCACCTGGACAGAGCCCGGGGAGAGTGACCTCCCGGGGTGTCCACGTTGGGAGTGTCTGATCAATCAACCAACCAACCAACCAACCAACCACAAACAGCGGTAATTACAGCACAGCCGAACAGCATCACCCCTCAAAACCTCCTGAGATTTGTCTTTATTACATACCAGAGACATGATGCACAAAATCTGTGCGAGGGTAGACCTTTTACACTTTTATTATTATAGATTATGCTACATGTAGTTGCTGGTTTAGTAATCAACTTCAAACAAGTCATTGCCTTGTACTATCGATATTTCATCGGTTACTCCTTATTGAAGGCATAGGCAGACAAATATGCCCAGCTTCAACTCCAGGATCGTGAAAAGGAACTGTGCAGACCAAACGCCATCGGAAAACGGATAAGCCAAGTGCAATTCAGAGTTACTTACCCAAATCCAGTTGGCTTAGAATCTGGACTGAAGGCTGCAAAACAAGGTCAAGAGCTTAATTGGCAGTACAGCAAAACTCGTTAAAGCAAAAAATTCACTTCTGATCAACCTATATCCGGATAGGAAGCTCTAGAGCAGCGATCGTCAATCTTGTCCACCTTGTGCTGCACACAAACTAATTACTAAAACCGCAGCACACAAAAAACATATTCCCCTGATCTACCGAAACAGGTAGAATCTTTTCACTGGCTTTTGTTAATTTCAGAGAAGGGACAGAAACATCGATGATATAATCACTTATAAATTTCATCGGCCACGTGGCCATTGAAACATCAAGACAGAATCATGGATGGGCTGCCTCCCCCCCACCCCCCCAATCGGCCACGTGCCTTGACTTCCTGGTTCATAGCTCAATGCTCACCCCTGAGCCGAGCCAGGCCAGGCCAAAAGGTAGAATTTTAATTGATTCACACCAGTTGCTCGAGGGAGATGTTTCCTGCATGGTTTGCCTCCTCAGTCATGGTCCGAGGACTCTGAGAAGTCGTAGGAATATGCAGGCGCAGACACAAGGCCCGGCTTTCTCTCCAACGGCGTGGAAAGGGACTGTACGTCACGGGGCAGAGCCCTATGCTCCCCTACGCCACCTGGACAGAGCCCGGGGAGAGTGACCTTCCGGGGTGTCCACGTTGGTCACCACACTTTAAGAGTCAGACTTCTGTGCAAGCAATCCCAATCCAGCGCACAGCCATTTCCCGGGGATACCCACGCTGGGGTGGAACCTGACACCCCCTCCACCCCAAAGTCGTCAAAACTCGAGTTCAAGACTGGGCCTGAAGCCTTGTCAGTAACCTAAAATCCACTTTCCAGCCGCGCACCGCGCACACACAACCCATCAGCACGTCCCCATCCCCCGCCCAGGAAGTGGCCCACACAGAGCTTGTGTAGAAGCAGTTAATCTTTGCATATCCTTAACCCGATCACCTCCCGATGACACTAGATGTTGGAACAATTCCGCAGCACCCAGAGCCATCATGATTTCGAAACCAGGACGCAAACGCGGGAGGGGCCAGGGACAGGAGGTCCCGCGTGCAACTCCACCGAGGGCATCGCGGGGCAAATAACCGGGCACCCGGGGCGGGGTGGCTGCGTGCTCAGCGGCGTGGGGTGCGGGGTGCAGGCAGCTGGGCGCGGGCGCGCCTGGGTTCGCCATCCCTCCGCACGGATTAACGAGGGCGGCTGGCACGGACCCCGCTGGAACCGATCCTTCTAAACAGAATCCTTTCTACAGGGAAGGCTGGCTGGCAGGATGGAGCCCCAGAGGGGAAACTGACAAAAAAAAAGAAAAAGAAAAGAAAAAGGCGGATCAGAAACACTCACCAGGCGCCGGGAAGGCTCAGCGACGATCTCTTCCGCTGAAAGGCCGGGCGCAGTCAAGGCGTCCTGCTTTTATACCTTTCCAAGCCGGCGTGTCTATTGCGCCTGCGCCCCGCCGGAAGCCAGCCTATCGCCAACTCACTTGGTTAAGCCCCGCCCTCACCAGGACCAGAGGAATTCTCGCGATAGGAGAGCCTTCCCGCGCAGCATTGCTGGGGAATGCAAGTTCCAGCAACAAGGTCTGCAGAGGCGGCTGCGTTTCTCATAGCAAAACGTGCAGTTCTACTCAGGTCCCTGCGCCTGGGGAATGGGCCGTTAAACGCGTAAAAAATAGATTTGGTGTAATAAACATGAAAAATAGGAAAAGACATCTTAGAGAAACGCGGAAAGTCTAAAGTAGGGGTGTCGAACTCAGTCAGAGAAGGGGCCAAAATCTAAAATCCAGCCTAAATCGTGAGCCGAATGGTTTACTGAACAGTCATAAACTGTCATTGTGATGGAAACGCAGCGGAGTGCAGTGATGACAGCGCGGTGCGGGCCACACTGCAAGGCCTGGCGGGACGGATTTGGCCCACGGGCCTTGTGTTTGACACATGTGGTCTAAAGAGTGGTTGAATCTGCCCCCCGTCACAAGTGAAATAGACATTTAAAAAAATATATTTCTTTATTGACTTGAGAGAGGAAAGGAGGGGGAGGAAGATAGAAAAATCAATGATGAGTGAGAATCATTGATCGGCTTCCTCCAGAACTGTCCCCTGCTGGGGATGGAGCCTGCAACCCAGGCAATGTACCCTTGGCCCGAATCGAACCCGGGACCCTTCAGTCCACAGGCCAACGCTCTGTCCACTGAGCCAAGCGAGCTAGGGCAAAATAGACATTTAATAACTACAACAAATACGTAGCTAAAGAAGTAAAGTGCTCCTACGGGAATTGGAATATACTGTTGAACTGTACACCACAAATGGTTAAAATGGTAACGTTTACGTTAAGTGCATTTTAACACATACACCCCTAATAGGAAGAATTAGGCAAGTAAAGAATTCTGAAGATACATGTTGCAGTATAACGTTGCAAACGGGATAGAATTTCTAAGGTGGCGCTACTGTAGGTGAGTAAATGTGACATTGACATAGAGCCATCACAGCTGGACTATAACGAGTAGAAATATTTGTGTTCTTTCTATAAGATGTTTGTGCTGGGTGGTTCGCATACATTTACTGTCACAGCAATTCTAAGACATTGGAATTACTACCCACATTTTAAGATGCAAAACAGGAGCAGAGCAGTGGTTCTCAAAGTGCAGTTGGTAGACCCTGGGGTCTCTGAGATTCTTTTGGGGTTCCCTGAGGTCAAAGCTGTTTCACGTTAATACTTTCTTTGCCTTTTTCACCATGTTGACGCTGCAGATGTAAAGTGAAATAGTACTTAAGCCGAAGCCGGTTTGGCTCAGTGGTAGAGCGTCGGTCTGCGGACTGAAAGGTCCCAGGTTTGATTCCGGTCAAGGGCATTGGTTGCGGGCACAAACATTGGTTGCGGGCACATCCCCAGTAAGGGGTGTGCAAGAGGCAGCTGGCCAATGTTTCTCTCTCATCGACGTTTCTAGCTCTCTATCTCTCTCCCTTCCTCTCTGTTAAAAAAATAAAATATATATATTAAAAAAAAAAGAAAAAAAAGAAATAGTACTTAAACTTGGATGGTGCCTCAGCTTTTCCAGGCCTTGTTATCAAACTGTACTGGTAATAGTGTTTTTCTTTTTTTAAAGAAATATTTCATTGATTTTTTTTTTACAGAGAGGAAGGGAGGGGGACAGAGAGCTAGAAACATTGATGAGAGAGAAGCATGTACCAGCTGCCTCCTGCACCCCCCCACCCCCCCACCCCCCACTGGGAATGTGCCTGCAACCAAGGTATATGCGCCTGACTGGACTCAAACCTGGGACCTTTCACTCCACAGGCCGACACTCTAGCCACTGAGCCAAACCGGTTTCAGCAATAATAGTGTTTTTCATCATCAAAGATACACAGTATTTTATTTTAAAATATATTTTTATTTTTTTAAATATATATATTAAATACATTTTATTGATATTTTTACAGAAAGGAAGGGAGGACAGAGAGCTAGAAACATTGATTAGCTGCCTTCTGCACACCCCCCACTGGAGATGTGCCTGCAACCAAGGTACTAGAATCAAACCTGGGATCATTCAGTTCGCAGGCTGATGCTCTATCCACTGAGCCAAACTGGTCAGGGCTTTGTAATATATTTTTATTGATTTCAGGGAGGAAGGGAGAGGGAGAGGAGAAACATCAATGATGAGAATCATTGACTGGCTGCCTCCTGCGTGCCCTCTACTGGGGATAGAAGCCAAAACCCAGGCATGTGCCCTTGACTGGAATCGAACCCGGGACCTTTCAGTCCACAGGCTGATGCTCTATCCACTGAGCAAAACCAGCGAGGGCAAAATACAGTATTTTAGAAAAGTCATTTCCTCAGGGAAAGCCATTTTTATTTTAATCTTTACCTGAGGCTATTTTCCCCATTGATTTTTAGGGAGAGTGGAAGAGAGAGGGAAAGACAGAGATTGATTGCCTCCTACACAGTCCCAACCAGGCGTGGGCCCTGGGAGGAGCCTGTAACCAAGCTATGTGCCCTTGATGGGAATCGAACCTGGGACCCTTTGGTCTGTAGGCTGACACTCTATCCACTGAGCCAAACCGGCCGAAACCGGTTTGGCTCAGTGGTAGAGTGTCGGTCTGCGGACTGAAAGGTCCCGGGTTCGATTCCGGTCAAGGGCATGTACATTAGTTGCGGGCACATCCCCAGTAGGGGGTGTGCAAGAGGCAGCTGGTCGATGTTTCTCTCTCATCGACGTTTCTAGCTCTCTATCTCTCCCGTTCTCTCTGTAAAAAATTAATAAAATATATATTAAAACACTGAGCCAAACTGGCTAGGGCAACCATTTTTATTTTAAATGTAATTGAGATTTTAATGAGTTGAATGAACATGGCTTTAGACATGGAAAACATGCCTATAGATCAGCGGTCACAACCACTGTCAAGAAGCCTGTTCAGTTTACTTCTGCAGCAGGTCTTCCTCCTCTATTTGTTACTCATTTAGCTCAGCTGTTTGGACTGTACAGAAAATTAAATTGTTTCGCATTAAATTTATTTTTACTGTTGAATGGCTCCACTTCTCAGTCACCCGTGTGGCTCTCCTTCCTCCTCAGTTCAGAACTTTCCCAGCTCCTCTGCCCCAGCAGCATCCTCATCCCTCCCTCCAGCTCCCGTGTCCCAGGCAGCCTTTCTGCCCACTCCCTCCTCGGCCCGAAGCCATCAGACCACGCCCCAGCCCCTGCAGGAGCCCGGCACTTCCCACCTGGGGAGGCTTCCCCGCGGCCCGCCACGGCCTGTGTGGCTGGGGAGTGACTTATGATCACAAAGGAGCCGCCTCCGGCAGAAATCTGTAAGGAGGCACGTGAGGTGCAGCGTGGAAACCCCAGTATTACGCGGAAGGAATTCTTGCCAAAGTGGCCGAGATCTAATGGAGCCTGCAGCTCCAACTCCACATTTACAGGAAATACAGAGGTTAGGGGAACAGCTTAGATGACTTCACAAGGACATAATTAGATCCATTAGGAATGAGAACAGCGCCTAGGACGATGGCTTTGAGTCTTCAGAAAGTCGAGCCACGAAAAATGTGTTGGGGAGGGCTATTGTAGACAAAAAAGAAATAACTTTATGCTATGCATAAACCTAGATGGGTCCTGGTTCAAAACTTAGTGTCTAAAAGTGTTCCAAATGACAGTGTGAAAGAAACAGAGCTAAACTCGGCCCTCGGCCTCCTGATGGCAGCCTCGCCTCTCTCACGCTGCCTTCTTTGCTGCCTACATAAGATACAGGCTCTCCCTTCCCCATCACCTGCACTTGCTTCCTACTGCCGGGGGTAGGTGGAGAAGGGGGGGGCGGAGAAAGGGTCTCCTTGGGGCAAGGACTTAGGTTATGGATTTGCCACCACAATGCCAGGCCCACACCAGGGCTCAGTCACAAACACTAGTAGCTTCTGTGTGCCTCTCGGTGAAAGTCGGTAGTTGTCTTCACTCTCCCAGCAGCTGATTTGATGAGGTGACTATTACGTCCCATTTCACAGATGGGGAGGCTGAGGCTCAAACGGGTTAAGTCGCTTGCCCAAGGCGATACCCCTCATAGGAGGTGGAGTCCCGTTGCACTCCAGGTCTGGCTGAATAGAAAGCCTGGCTGTTGTGTCTGGATTGAATCCTTTTCTTTTTTTAAATATATTTTATTGATTTTTTACAGAGAGGAAGGGAGAGGGATAGAGAGTTAGAACATCAATGAGAGAGAAATATCCATCAGCTGCCTCCTGCACACCTCCCACTGGGGATGTGCCCGCAACTGAGGTACATGCCCTTGACCGGAATTGAACCTGGGACTTTCTAGTTCGTAGGCTGACACTCTATTCACTGAGCCAAACCTATTAGGGCAGCCTTTCTTCCTTCCTTCCTTCCTTCCTTCCTTCCTTCCTTCCTTCCTTCCTTCCTTCCTTCCTTCCTAATATATTTTATTGATATTTTACAGAGAGGAGGAAGGGAGAGAGATAGAGAGCTAGAAACATCAATGAGAGAGAAACATCGACCAACTGCCTCTTGCACACCCCCTACTGGGGATGTGCCCGCAACCAATGTACATGCCCTTGACCGGAATCGAACCTGGGACCTTTCAGTCTGCAGACTGACGCTCTATCGGATAGAACTGAGTCTATCCACTGAGCCAAACCGGTTTCGGCTTTTTCTTTTTTTTAATCCTCAGCGGAGGATATTCTTTCCATTGATTTCTAGAGAGAGTGGAGAGATAGAAACATTGTCGTTTAAAAAATATATTTTTGTTGATTTCAGAGAGGAAGGGGTGAGAGAGAAATAGAAATATCAATGAGAGCCATCGATGTTTCTAACTCTCTATCCCTCTCTCTTCCTCCCTGTAAAAAAATCAATAAAATATATTTATTAAAAAAAAGAAACATTAATGAGAGAGAATCGCTGATCTGCCGCCTCTTGCACGCCTCCTACTGGGGATTGAGCCCATACCTGAGTGGGAATCAAACTGTTCACAGGTCACCTCTGAGCCACACGGGCCGGCCAAGCTGCTCACAGTTGGTCTTGAACACCCTGATGAGGTGGTGGTGGTGGGTGGGGTGACCATTCCAATTTTATGGGAGGAAAAACTGGGCCAGAAAAGGGCTGAAGGAAGGAAAGCAGTGCCGTTTTGACGCTTGTTTCACACCAGGCCCCGAACCAGCACCTCATGGGCATAAACTGCCTCAGTCCCGACAGCAGTTCTCAACATGGGGGTGGATGGTAAGGGGGGGGTGGTCATCAGATGGTCATGAGCTCAGACCCCAGAGCCACGTGACTGGGGCCAATTTAGGCTCCCCCGCTTCCTGGCTGCTGATCCTCACGAAATTCCTTAACCTCTGCATGCCTCAGTTTCCCCATTCGTAAAAAGGCCCTCCAGGGCCCTGCCGGTCTGGTCCCTTCCGGTGTGCTCGCAGCCAGCATCCTCTACGCCTCGGTCCCCGTCCTTTGCTTATTGCCCCTGGGGCAGCCGGGGCCCCAGGCCAGACCGAAGGGCGCGCCCAGCTCCCGGCAGGGAGGTGACCCGCGAAGAGCAGGGGCCCTTTGAACCTGAGCAGTCCTCCCGGGCAGGGCAGGTTCCGGTTTTTGAGGAGCCGTTCTGAGCAGCAGCCCAGGGTCCCCAAGACCTTCTTCTGTTTCTAAGGCAACATCCTGTGGATTCTGGCTCCCTGCCTCTCCCCTCCCACCTCCAGGAGGCGGAGACACGCAGAGGCAGAGGAGGCAGAGGCAGCGGATCTCAGATCAGAAACACCGGGAGCTCCTTGGGCGAGCGGCAGTGCCAGCCTGGTCCCCGCGCTGGGACCCCGCCTGGCCCCCTGCCTGCCCCCGGCCATGGCTTTCCACCCGCTCTCCTGGCTGCTCCACTTGGCTGTGCTCTGCCCTCTGGTCCTGCTGCTGGCGGGTGAGTGGGGTGGGCGCAGCGTGAGCAGGGAGGGGGCGGCCCCAGCCCCACGCCTGCCCCTCAGACCTGGCATCAGGGCACACCAGACCCTTCCTAGCTGAGGCTGGGTCCGTGGCAGGCCCGCCTAAGGGATGGGGGGCGGCGGCGGGGCCGGTGGGGGGGGGGGGGCAAAGATGAGGCTCCATGAGGAAAAGATTTGGCTCAATGAGCAAGGCTGCTATCTTGGAGTGCGGGGTGGTGGTGGGGGGGCAGTGGGCAGGGTGGCGTGGGAGATACAAGGGGGCCGGGTGGGTATCGGAGGCCCAGGATCGAGCACGGGAGGGACTGAGGGAAGGAGGCTCCTGCTGGGACAAGCCTTGGGGGTGCCCAGGGTTAATATGTAACCTGACGTCCTGAGCCGCAGCCTGGCCCTGGGCTAGGTAGGCCACAGCTGGGAACTTTCTCCTGCCCTGATGCCAAGGCCACCCTGGGAGTCGGGGCCCCAGGACCAGAGGAGGGGAGGTCAAGGTCATTGCAGCTCCTAGGGTGGGCTCGTGGCTCGCTCTTGCTCTGGTCTGTAGCCCCATCTTCCCCCGCTGTACGGTCTTCCTCCTCCAAACACGGCTTAGAAAATGGTGGTCCAGGCAGGGTCCGGGTAAGGCCACCTCCAGTCACGTGCTTCCTGGAGCCTGGGATCTGGTGGGGCATCCATCCCACCTGCCACCAGGAGGGTGGGTGTAGAAACTGGCCTGAGGGTATGGCCAGCTGGCAGGGCAGGAGGCGGTGGCCTGGGTGCAGGGGGGAGCGTGGACGGCGCTCACCGCCTCTGGGAACCTCCTGCGTCCGCCCCGTCCCTGGGGAGTGCCCAGGCCATCTGGCAGGTCGGAGCTCAGAGAGGGTGGCAGCCCGCCTGAGGACACACAGCGCGTCTGGGAGAATGAGAAGCAACCTCTAGCTTCCAGGACAGCTGCAGGGGAGCACAGCAGTGGGACGGGGAGGAGGTAGCTGAGGATGGCGGGGGTGGCGGGGGTGGCAGAGGCAGCGGGGGCTGAGTGTTGCTGGCTTCCTGCTTCCTGGGCCCGAGGCCAGAGCCCGAGGTGTTTGAGGATCGTGAGCCCAGGGAGGGGAGTCAGAGGGAGGTGCCTGGCTGTGACCTGAAGGGGGCCTTCCCTCCTTGGTCCCAGCCACCGCACCTCACCTCTGCTTCCTGAGGCTGATGCCTGGGAGGGCGTTTGGAAGTGGGAGGAGGAGGATTATTTATAACAGCAGGGAGGTGGGGAGGGACTGGGGGGCGGAGAGGGGACCCTGGATGCTCTGCCTCGCAGCCTAGGGCTCCAGGACCACCAGGCTCCCGTCCTGATCTCGGTCCCTGACTTTGCTGGGAGATACTTACATCCTTTCGACCTCTCTGAGCCTCGGTTTCTCCTCCTGGGAAGCTGGCACTCAGCCAGGCCCCCTTAGCGCCCTTACCCACACTGACAGGTGAGGCTCTGAGCGGCCCCTGGGAGCCCTGCAGGTCTGGGGGGTGGGGGGGTCCACAGCCAGAGAGACCCCCAGGAGGGCGGGGGGGGGGGGGAGTCAGGGGAGGGGGAGGTTCGAGGCCGCTGCAGGCAGCTACGTCAGTTCCCGAGCGAGGGCTTGCGGGGCTGAGCCAGGCAGAGCCTCCTTTTACATAACAAACCTGCAGACACAAGTCAGAGAAATTTTCTCTCTGAGCCCTGACGCATGCACTCCCACTTGGCAAGAAAGAAAAGGAAAGAAAAAGAAAAAAAAAAAAAAATCCGCTTGAAGCCGCTGCAGTCCGCCCCCCTGCTCAGCGGAGAGGGGGGCGGCGGGGAAGGCAGGGGAGGGTACAGGCGGGTGTCAGATCCAGGCCGCGGGGGACAGAAATAAAAACGCCTCTCTCCTTCCCCAGGGGCGGAGATGGCCTGTGTCGCACGGAGCTTCTGTGCGCACTTTGCTGATTCATCCCACACGCGTTTCTCGGGCACCTACTCTGGGCCCCGCACTGTTCTGGGCGCCGAGACCAGATCAATAAATAAAACCGCCCCCACCCGCCCAGATGCCGGGCCTCGGGGCGAGAACATCGATTGGGGAAGGCAGACAATGCACAGAATAAATCAGTATGCCGTGGGATCTGTTGGAAGGGGGGGAAATGCCGTGATTTAAAAGAGTGTGTGTGTGTGTTGAAATTTTAGGTAAGAGGCCAGGGGATTTTCCCTAGAAGGGGCCACTGAGGCGGGTGGGTGGAGGGGGAGGGGGAAAGGGGAAGGGGGAGGGAGGCATGTGGTTATCTCCAGGGGAGTGGTCCTCAGTGAGGGCTTGCCCATGGGAATATCCGGCAATTCCTGGAGATGTTTTTGGGGTTCTAAGTACCCCACCATGTTTGTCTGGGGGGCGGGGGTGCTCTCACCTAGCGGCCAGAGGCCAGCAGGACACAGGACAGCCCCGGGACAAAGGAAAGGACTGCCTGGGCGGAAAGGCCAGTGGCGTCTGCCGTGGAGGAAACCCTGCTCTGAGGGCCCAGACAGTGAAACAGCATTATTCTCACAGCCCCCCCCCCCACGTGGAGCGGGCATTACTGTGCCCACTTCACCGGCATGGCAATCGAGGCTCGGGCAGCCCAAGGGACTCGTCCAGGACACACACCTGGCGCTGGCTCAAGCCCTCTCTCACCTCACCCAGAGACCCGGAGCATCCCTGCCTCTTCCTGTCTGCGGCCTCTTCGCAGTCCTGGAGGACAAGCCTTAGGGTAAGGTGACCAGACATCCCGCAGCGTTTTAAAAAAGCCCCGATTTTTTTTTGTTTTAAAACGCCTCGGGACAAAATTGTTAAAAATCAGGACTGTTCCGCCAAAAGCGGGACGTCTGGTCACCTTACCTTAGGGGCACCTCCTCCAGGCAGCCTCCCGGATCGCTTGTAGCAGGGCGTGGCCTCTCCTTCGTGTAGCCCTCGGCACCCTCGGATACGTTTGGGAGCACGGTGTTTCACCCTGGAAAAGCGGGGTGTCTGGGACCCGGGAAGACAACCAGATCTGGCGCTAAGCCGCTGTGTGGCCTCAGGCATGTCATGCAGCCTCTCTGGTTCTCAGCTTCTGCGTCGGTAAAACGGGGATGGCCACACACTCTCGGCAGGGATGTTGAATGAATGAGAGCAGATGTGCGTGTGCTGAGCACATAGTGGGTGCTCCAGTAGGAAGTTCTCTGGCACTCTGTGGGTGCGTCTTAGCTGCCCATCAGGCTAGGAGCTCTCTCTGAAGGCAGCGGCGGGCTTTGTTCACCTCACTATTCCCGGCAAGATGGAGGGTCAGCGTTTGTCGGCTGAGTCCACACAGCGACCTGGGAGCCTTGATTGGGATTGAGGTGATCTCTCCACGCTCAGCACCCGCACCTGTGGGAGGAAGTGCAGGGTTAAGGACAGAGGACCTGGGTCTTTGCAGTATTCAAAAGTAATTCAAACAAATGTTGGCTGAATCGGCATGGATGGATAGATGGATGGATGGATGGACGAAGGATAGGTGAGTGGGCTGATGAGGGATGGATGAGTGGATAAATGAGAGGAGGTGGAGCTACAGATGGAAGGTGGTAGGTGGGTGAGTGGGGCTGGTTAGATGGATGGATGGGGTAAGCAGGAACGGGTGGGAGGTAGACGTGGGTGGATGTGGAATGAGTAAAAGATTGACAAAAGGGAGCAGATAAGTGGATGGATGAATGGATGGATGGATGGATGGATGGATGGATGGATGGATAAATGGGTGGATGAATGGATGGATAAATGGGTGAATGGATGGATGGATATGTGGGTGGGTGGGTGGGTGGATGGATGGATGGATGGATGGATAAATGGGTGGATGGATGAATGGATAAATGGGTGAATGGATGGATATATACATGGGTAGATGGATAGATGGGTAGAGGGATAAGTAGACTGAGGCATTATTTCACTTAGTGAAGATTTATTGAGTATCTGCTTTGTGCTGGAAGACATGACATGACATGATACCAACACAGACAAGCTCTTGCCCTCCTGAAAGTCACGTGACAGATCATAAATGACTGTCTGGCTGGAGGCACTGTCTCCTTCGACAGGAGAGAGAACTCCAGTTCCAGGAAGGAAACAGGCCCTTGGGTTAGTCATCCAGCCGTCTCTGGGCAGGACCCAGGCACCGAGCAGAGGGTGGGGCTGTGGGGGCAGCTGGCTTTGTGGCTCCTCAAAGCCCCCGAGGTGAACAGTGGCCTCCCCCCCGGGGAACTTGAGTCCAGAGAGCGAACTGACCTCACTAGCTTCTCCTTCCTGCCCACTGAGCAGCTGCCCCCTGGCTCCAGGTCACCCAGGGGCCCCTTTCCTCTGTGGCTTTTCCCAGGGGCATACCTGCCAGGCCAGTCCAGTCCAGGGTGGTTTGAGATCCTGCTGGGGCAGAAGGAGGGAGATAAGGCAGCCAGGGACTTTCCCAAGAGAGAAAGCAGCCAGCCCGTGACTCAAGGAGCAGCTGCTGGGAGCGCCCCCTCCCCTCTCTCCACCCCAGTGCATGTTTGCACATCCACATACATGTACCTGTGCATGAGCAGTGTGTGTTTTGGTGGAGCCCAGGCACCAGCCGGGGCCTTTAGGGCCCTGCAGAGCTAGACAAGGTCAGCTGCCGTCTCAACTCTGCTGTGTGGAAGTCCTGGCTCTAGATTTTTGCAAAGCCTTCCAGGGTCTTGCTTCTGCTGCATTAGACCTTGACCTAGGACTGAAACGCATTCTCTTCCTCATGTTTCACATACCCCAGCCCAGCTTACACCAAACAAAGACATTTTACTGAAGACTTTACCTGGGAGGGGAGGGGGGCAGGAGGAGGCGGGATTGCAGTGCAAACCACTTCAAATGTTTTATATAAAATATTCGGGTTCTCAAGTGTCTGTTGAGTCACCCTCATCCTGCCTTGGGGTTTCTCTCTGACTCCATGTGGCCACTAGCCAGCCCTCTGCAGACCCCTGCTTCCCCATCTCTGCTCCCACCCCATGCACCTCCTTCCTCAGAAAGGAATTTCAGAGAGAGAGAGAGAGAGAGAGAGAGAAACATCAATCGGCTGCCTGCGGCACGCCCCCTACTGGGGATCGAGTCCACCAACCTGGCATGTGCCCTGACCGGAATCGAACCCCGACCTTCTGGTTTATAGGAGGCACACCAGCCAGGACCACCTGATTCTTAATGACAGAACCATGAGGCCAGCTTCTGGCTAAGCTGAGCTGCCCCTGTGGGAGCGCACTGACCCCCAGAGGGCAGCTCCTGCATTGAGCGTCTGCCCCCTGGGGGTCAGTGCGTGTCATAGCGCCCGATCCTTCCACCGTTTGGTCAGTTTGCATATTAGCCTTTTATTATATAGGACTAGAGGCCCGATGCACGAAATTCGTGCAAGCGGCTTGGCCCTCACAGCTGCGGTGGCTTGCCTCAGCCCTTGCACTCTGGCTTCATCCGGAAGGACGTCCTGAAGGTGGTTCAGCTGTCTGGACTAATTAGCATATTTCGCTTTCATTATTATAGATATGCCATTTGTGTTTGTGGGAGTGCATGTGAGAACATGCCACGGACAGGCACATGAGATGTGAATGGCAAGAGGGCTGGGTGTGTCTCAGAGGTCGTGAAAACCCATGGCTGTGGACAGCTTGAGAGGGAGGGGCAGGGTGTCTGTGTGTGTGTGTGTGGGGGTGATAGCAGAGCAGGTAACTTATCGGGGTAAAGGCAACAGGAGTGGCGCCTGGGCAGCACCACCGGCCCAGGAGCATGATGGGAGCCAGGCCTGGTCGGAGAGCCTGTCCCATCACTTCCTGGCTGTGTGACCTCAGGCAGGTAGATCCCTGCCACCCTCAGACTCCGCCCCTCTGTGTACCACAGATCAGTGATAGCAACTTAATTCTTACAGTGAAACACTTACCATGTGCCGGGCAAGAAGAGTTTTACCCTGTGAGGCACATACTACCATTGTCCCTATTTTACAGGTGGGGAAACTGAGGCATGGAGAGGTTTGGTCAGGGATGGACGGGGCAGGGCGAGGGGCTGAGGTCAAGGGCCTTGAAAGCCAGGTGTGCAGGGCACTGGCTCTCGGGCCGAGTGGCTGGGACCTACTGTCCTGGGGGTGAGAAGCCAGATGCCCCTGGACAGTCCTGCTGACTGGGGGCTTCTGTGGGCTCAGGACAGCAGCACGCTTCGAACAAATGCAGCAACGATTGCAAGGTGATGACCAAGGAGATCCCCCGGGACCGCCTAGCCAGCTACCAACGAACAGAACCATCTTGCCGCAAACGCGCCATCATGTAGGTACCACCCTCTCCGCCTCCACATCCCTGCCAGGCCCCGGGGACAGCCCCCGACCTCCGGTAACACATGTCCACCGCCCCCCAGCCCCACCCGGGGTCCTGGCCCAGGGCCTCAGCGAACGCTCCCCTGCTTCTGGCCTGCGTTAACATCCGCGCCACAAGTGGGTGGGCGGGAGGATGAGAGCAGGGGGTGTAACAACGGGCTTGGGAGGGTGCCCAGAAGCTGGGGACAATAAGATTAGCATCTGCGTGTGTCAGAGGGGGAAACAGGATCTCTAGGAGGCTCCGGGCAGGGATCCAGCCAAGCCAGCTCCCCTCGGCCCTCGGAGCTGCTTGCTCCTCTGCCCCCCCCCCCCCCCGGGGCACTGCCCAGTGGCCCATCCGAGGCCTCTTTTCAGGACTTTGGGCCCTAAAGCAGCGCAGCAGGACCCGGAGGCCTGGCAGCAAGAAGCTGGGCCCAGCTGGACTGGCTCGGGGGCTGAGCGTTACCCTAGGGACCAGGGTAACCTCAGTCTGATTTCCGGTCGGGGCACACGCCCGGGTGGCGGGCACCATCCCCAGTGGGGAGTGTGCAGGAGTCAGCCGATCCATGATTCTCTCTTATCATTGATCCTTCTCTCTCTTTCTCTCTCTCTCCCTTTTTTTTTGAAAATCAATATATATATATATTTTTTTAAAGGAGTGGCCAGCCGAAACCGGTTTGGCTCAGTGGATAGAGCGTCGGCCTGCGGACTGAAAGGTCCCGGGTTCGATTCCGGTCAAGGGCATGTATCTTGGTTGCGGGCACATCCCCAGCGGGGAGTGTGCAGGGGGCAGCTGATCGATGCTTCTCTCTCATCGATGTTTCTAACTCTCTATCCCTCTCCCTTCCTCTCTGTAAAAAAAAAATCAATGAAATAAAATAAAAAAATTTTAAAAAGGGGGGAGTGGCCAGTGAGCCTCTGAAACACCTCTGAGACTTGTGCTCCCATCGGCCGCCCAGCCCATTGAGTGTGCAGTCTCTTCAAGAGCCCTCTCTGCCCGCCCCCCACCCCTGGCTTGCTGCCCGGCTCCCCCACATATTTGCTTCTGTTTCCTAGGGGCAGGGGCGGGGCCGGGGAAGCACCGGGGAGGGGGGCTCAGCCTGGGGGCCGCACAGGATCACGCGGGCCTCCTGGACAGCTGTGGCGTCCAGCACACTGGCCCCGAGAGTGGTTACCCCTGGAGGCTTGACTTTCTCTCTGCAAAACGGGTGTGAGTGAGGTAGCCACCTTGCAGGAAGTTACTGATCTACTCTGAGCCAGGGGCCTTGTTTTTCTTTAGTTTGCTTAATTTTTTTTCTTCTTAAAAAAAGGAAGGAAGGAAGGAAGGAAGGAAGGAAGGAAGGAAGGAAGGAAGGAAGGAAAGAAAGAAAGAAAGAAAGAAAGAAAGAAAGAAAGAAAGAAAGAAAGAAAGAAAGAGAGAAGGGCTGAAGAGCATGATTTATTTTGGTAATCCTCACCCGATGATATTTTTTTCCATTGATTTTTTTATTTATTAAGGTATTATATGTGTACATATCTTTCTCCATTGATTTTTAGAGAGTGAAAGGAAGAGAGGAACAGGGAGGGAGGGAGAGAGAGAGACAGAGAGAAACATCGATGTGAGAGAGACACCCATCAGCTGGCTGCCTCCAGCATGGGGTCCCGGTTGGGGTTTGAACCTGCAGCCAAGGTACATGTCCTTGACCAGGAGTGGAACCTGTGACCTGCAGGTCGACGCTCTGCCCTCCCCGGCCGGGGCCCGAGCCAAATGCTTTACATAATTTTTGTTTTTTATAGTAAGACAGAAGCAGGGTGACCCTGTATCTCTGGGACCCCCTCAGCCCCCCTTGGCTGGGCAGTTGGTCACCCACAGAGTAGGGGTCACAGTCCCACTTCCCAGGCGAGGACTGCTGCACCCCAGCTAAGCTCACAGGTGGTGGTCAGTGGCCGGGCAGGACTCCCGGCCCGCCTGCTCGCCTGCAGGCCCTGGCGTGGCACCCCCTCCCCCCACGGCATCACAGGTCCCTGCCTTCTTTCCCTGCAGCTTGACGACCAGAAAGAACAGAACATTCTGTGCGGACCCCAAGGAGAAATGGGTGCAGGAAGCCATGGAGTATCTGGACCGCAAGGCCGGTCCCTCCTCTGAGAAGCTGACGGGACCCATAATTGCTCCGGCCATCACTGGCACCACCAAAACCACCAACACCACTGCCACATCCTGGCAGAGCTCTTACCAGCCTAGAGTGGACCACAGGGCTGAAGGGAAGGCCTCTGAAGCTGCCTCCACCCAGACCCCCCCCACCCAGGCCCTCCCCACTGATCCCCCCTCCACCCAGGTCCCCCCCACCCAGGCCTCCTCCACCCAGGCCCCCTCCACCCAGGCCCCCTCCACCCAGGTCCTCCCCACTGATCCCCCCTCCACCCAGGCCCCCTCCACCCAGGCCCCCTCCACCCAGGCCCTCCTCACTGATCCCCCCTCCACCCAGGCTCCCCCCACCCAGGCCCCCTCCACCCAGGCCCCCTCCACCCAGGCCCCCCCCACCCAGACCCCCTCCACCCAGGTCCTCCCCACTGATGCCCCCTCCACCCAGGCCCCCCCCACCCAGACCCCCTCCACCCAGGCCCCCCCAATCCAGGCCCTCCCCAGTGATACCCCTTCTTCCCAGGCCCCTCCCACCCAGGCCCCCTCCACCCAGGCCCCCCTCACCCAGGCCCTCCCCACCCAGGCCGGCTCCATCCAGAACCCCCCCACCGATACCCCCTCTCCCCAGGCCGCCTCCCCACAGGCCCCCGCCATTCCCCACACAGCCCCGGACCCTGGGCAGGACCTCACGCTGCCGCAGAGCCCCCTAGGGTCCCGTCCGGCTCACCCGGATGCCGTCACCGGGCCCCGCGTCTCCGCGGCCCCCAGCAAGGAGCAGGGGAGCTCGGACGGCCAGAGGCAGGACGACTTCCCCACCACGCCCGAGGCCACCCGGAGGCAGGCGGTGGGGCTGCTGGCCTTCCTGGGCCTGCTCTTCTGCCTGGGGGTGGCCACGCTCACCTACCAGCGGCTGCAGGGCTGCCCCCGCGGCGCGGTGGGGGACATGGTGGAGGGGCTCCGCTACGTGCCCCGCAGCTGTGGCAGCAACTCCTACGTGCTGGTGCCCGTGTGAGCGGCTGCCTGGGGCCCCCCATCCTCCCTCCTCCCCTCCCCTGGGCCTGGCCCGAGCGGGGAGGATGGAGGCAGGGAGGCAGGACCCCCCCAGGTGGGACTGTCCCGGTTCCTGGCAGACGCGGGAGGCCCATTGGCCATCCACGCCCTGCTGGAGGCGGAGGGGTGGCCTCCGAAACTCACCCCAGTGCCCCCACCCCGGTCAGAACACTCTGCTGCTGCTGAAAGGGTCCCTCTGACACCTCCCAGCCCCGACAGACAACTATTTATTGACGTCTCCGCCCCTGTCCCCATGGCGGTACCACGTCATCCCTCTCGGGCCAGGCCCCTCTGCACACCCCCTCCGACCTCATCGTGTCCCGTGGTCCCTCGGCCGCCTGCGGGGCCGGCCCCCCGCCCCCCACCACTACGGAGCCGGTGCCCTGGCCGGGACCTGTCTTTGCTTGCATGATTCCGGCGTGGCGTCTGCGGGCGGCTGAGTGAGGCAGCTGAAGTCGCCGGGCCGGTTGGACTGTCTCCCGCCTCGGTCTCTGCTGAGCGGGGAGGGAACACTGACTCTGAGCGTGAGGCCCGGGTTCTAGGCCCAGGCCCACCACCAAACCTGACGAGGCGCCCGCCCTGCCCCTCCGGCAAGTGTGTGGCAGTAACCTGTCCCCCGACGGGCATCACGCTGTGGGCCGGAGACCCCTGTGCCCAGATCCGGGTACAGCTTCACATCCGTCATCCACGGAGCACCTGAGCCAGTCAGCAAGGCAGGCACCGCCCTGGGGCCCGGAGGGGCCAGCAGCCCAGCCCTGCCCTGTTGGAGGGAGCCGCACGGGGGGCCCAGAATGGGGAGTGGGCTGCGGTACGTGGGGGGCAGAGACCAATTGTAAAGGCCCCTTCCTGACCTGGAGAGCAGGCCCTCTCTGTCCATCAGGCGTCCAGGGACACTGAGATGGCCCTGGTGACATGTGACAGGCTGAAGGAGGAGGGGCGCGGGCAGGCTCCGGGGAAGGCTGAGCCCTGCCTGGGGGCGGGGGGCAGGGGCTTTGGGGGGAGGGAGGCGGGGCAGGGTCCAGGGAGAAACTGCAGGGAGCAGCCACACTCCTGTTAGGGCTCCGGGCCGCCTCTCCGGCTCCCCGTCCGCACGCTATGTCCTCCCCCCCCTCCCCTTTGCCCCCGAGGCAGGCAGGCCCGGGAACGTCCCTGACGTTTCCCATGAGCTCAGAATCCACTGCCGACACCTGAGGTTCCGTGTTTATTTCTGGAAGGAACTCTGCCCTGTGGGGAGGAGCCGAGGGGGGAGGGGATAGCGTGTGTGTGTGTGTGTGTGTGTGTGTGTGTGTGTGTTTTGGGGGTGGGGGTGGTAAGGGGTTCCTTTGGCTGCTGAGGGTGCAGGCAGGCCTGGGTGAGACCGGCAGCTGCGGCTGGCCAGCACCCCACCCAGAACTGGACCTGCAGCCCCTCCCCCTCCCCCCACCTGGGGTGCCTGAGGGCAGCTCCCATCTCCCTCTGATTGTCCCCAAGGCTGACCCTTGCACTCCACCTGAGAAGCCTCCCAGGGTGGGGCTCCTCCGGGTACAGGTGACGGATCCTTTTATGGCGGATGCTCAGCTCGGGTCCACAGGGACGTGGTTCGGGCCGGCCGACCCCCCCGCCCCGCTCCTCCCGCTGGACACGGCACCCCCTGTTTGGGCTTGGGGGGGCACTTTTGGGAGAATAGCACGTCTGAATGCACTTTGACGGGCTCCTCCCTGCTGGGAGCCCTCCAGGAGGGGGGCCCCCATGGTGGGGTCCCCCTCCTTTGTCAGAAAGCAGCTGGGGCCGCTGGCCCCCGCCCCCAGGACTTTGTTAGCTCCCCCCCCACACACGGGGATACGGACCGGGACGATTGGGGGGGGGCCTTTAGAAGGAGGTGGTCCCTCCTCTTGGCTTTCCAACCCCATCCCCAATGTCTGCGCCATTTTGTATTTTACTAATAAAACGGGAAAGTCTTGTGGATCAAATCGAGGTGCTTTTTCTAGGGGGGGGGGGCTGGAGCCTCAGCAGGGATGGCACAGGGGAGGGTACCCCGTCTCCGGTGCCCGTGGGGCACAGCGGCGGGCACTTTCACAGTCAGCACCCGGAAGGGGCGCCGGGCACAGGGGTGCGGAGGGTGGAGCTGAGTGGCTCAGGCCGTGCCTTCACCAGGCTGTGCCAGTGCAGAGGCAGGCGAGAGGCCCCTCCGCTGGCTCCCAGGCCGGAGGGAATCAGAATCTATGACGAGGCTGCCCCCTGCCCCCAGGCCACATGCCTAACGGACCGCCATCCTAGTGACCTGGGAGGCGGCGTAGGCGCAGCTATGTAGGTTGAACTGCATGAGGTGCCAGCCTCCTGATACACAGGATTTCCTGGGTCCCGAGACGCGCATTTTTTCACATCATGACGTCTCTGGGATTAAGATGAGTCCTGTAGGCAGTGGCTTGTCATAATTTAATGAACAAGCCATTCTTTCTTTTTTTAAGAAAATGTATTTTATTGATTTTTTTTTTTTTACAGAGAGGAAGGGAGAGGGATAGAGAGTTAGAAACATCGATCAGCTGCCTCCTACACACCTCCTACTGGGATGTGCCCGCACCCAAGGTACATGCCCCCGACCGGAATCGAACCTGGGATCCCTCAGTCCACAGGGCCGACACTATCCACCGAGCCAAGCCGATTAGGGCACAGGTCTCTCTCTTCATGAGTTCGTTAAACATCAGAATGTCTTACAATCAATGGCATCTTAGATCCTATGCTTTTGAACCAAGACGTCACGGTTCCATTCCCAGTCAGGGCACATGATCCCCCGGAAGGGGCGTGCAGGGGGGCAGCTGATCAATGATTCTCTCTTCACTGGTGTTCCTACCCTTTCTTCCCTCTCCCTTCCTCTCTGAAATCAACTTAAAAAACTAAAAGGAAATGAGAAGTAGAGGCAACATGCACAAATCTGGAAAGCACACACTTAAACCGGCTTTCCCACCTTCTCTCGGTGCCTCAGAAGGTCTGCCCTCCGCGCCATGGTCTGCCTGGAGGTCCCGGGGGCCGAGCCTGAGCAGCAGCTGCCCCCTGAGATGGGGCTGTACCTCCCGGCCCCTCCACCCCAAAGACATTCCACCTGCTCTGCCCACGCCACCCCGGGAAGAAGGCTGCCTGAGGCAGGGATCCAGCCCCTCACCCGCTCCCAACACCACGCTTCCAGCGACCGGAAACGCGGAAACACCGACAGGCCCTGAACGAGCATGTTTGTCCCTGTCTCCCTGTCAGCCGCTGAAGGAAGAGGCTGGCGCCGGGGTGCGGGGGAGGGGGTGAGAACGCGCCTTCTGTCCTGGCTCAGTCCCTTCCCCAGGAAGCCTGAGGTATTTGTGATTTGTGAGGTATTTTCTCTTTCAGCTACCGAGCTAAACGTTAGCTGACACCATTTCCACAATTAACGCAGAGTCCGATGGAGACGTGGGGGGCTCTGAAATCTTTGCTCTGAGATGAATAATAATAATAATAATAATAATAGGCCGAGACCAGTTTGGCTCAATGGATAGAGCGTCGGCTTGGGGACTGAAGGGACCCGGGTTCGATTCCGGTCAAGGGCATGTACCCCTTGGTTGCGGGCATGTCCCCAGTAGGGGGTGTGCAGGAGGCAGCTGATCGATGACTCTCTCTCATCGATGTTTCTAGCTCTCTATCTCTCTCCCTTCCTCTCTGTACAAAATCAATAAAATAATATATTAAAAAAAAAAAAAAATAATAATAATAATAGGCACTGTGGCCATTGTTTGTTTCCTGTTTACCATGGGCCAGCCAATGTCCTAAATTCTTTTTTTTTTTTTTAATATTTTTTTAAATTGATTTCTGAATGGAAAGGAGAGGGAAAGATAGAAACATCAATGGTGAGAGAGAATCATTGATCAGCCGCCTCCTGCACACCCTGGACTGGGGATCGAGCCTGCAACCTGGGCATGTGCCCTGACCGGAAATCGAACCATGACCTCCTGGTTCATAGGTCAACACCCAGCCCACATCGACTGGGCTGTGCTAAATTCTTTTTTTTCTTTTTTTAAATATTTTATTGATTTTTTACAGAGAGGAAGGGAGAGAGATAGAGAGCTAGAAATATTGATAAGAGAGTTAGAAACATTGACCAGCTGCCTCCTGCACACCCCCTGTTGGGGATGTGTCCGCAACCAACACACATGCCCTTGACCGGAATCGAACCTGGAACCTTTCAGTCTGCAGGCCGATGCTCTACCCACTGAGCCAAACCAGTGTCGGCTGTACTAAATTCTTTGGGCAGGAGGGTCCCATCTTCCGATGACTAAAGTAAAGCTCTGCCGGGGGGATATGCACCTTGGGCACCCCCACCCCCGGGTCACACAGCCTGGCCGCCGCTGAGCTAGGACACGGACACCATCATAATCGGCTAGTGGTTACTCAGAGGAAAGGAGCGGAGGGAAGGCACCCATCACAGGCACGTTCCCTGGGGACGGGGAGGGGACCGGGCAAAGGGAAGATAAACACGTGCCCAGGAAGGTTACTGTCAGTCTCCTGGGAACAGAGGCCATGGCAAGCCCCCAATCCTCAGCCCCCCCCCCCCCCTCAAAGGTGTTTGCTCTCCTGGGAGTGTGGGGGGCTGTTCCTCTGTTTTCCATGTCCATCACGGAAAACAACAGGTTCCTGAGTGGAGGAGCTGGGGATTAAGAGAGAAAGAAGAGACCAAGAGGCAGAAATAGATTCATCAAGCTGGGCGCTAGGTGGGCGCCCTCCCCTCTGATGGGGAGTCTGCGAGCACTGAGCCACACAGCAGGTCTATTTATAGGGACAAAGGAGCTTATCTGCATTCTTAACTAGGCCCTAGCGTCACTGGATTTACATATCTAGACCCGCCCCTGCTGACACCTGGACAAAGGTACCTGCCAGAGCCTCGGGCTCAGCTGACAATTTAAAGAATGTCCATGTGCCTTCTCAGGCGGCCCTCTGCATGCGAGCTCTTTTGCTCCTGCTTCCCTGCATTTGCCCACCCGGCCCGCGGCCATACGGACCCCACACACAACGCACTGATGGGCGGTGACCAGCCTGATGCTGGGCTGGCCCCGGCTCCAAAGGGCAAGGAAACTGGGCCCTGGCGTTGCTCCACGGAAGCCCCAGGGGCACTTCTAGGACCGGCACCAAGGGGAACGGGGCTTTGGAGGCCCAGGGGCGTCCTTCCACGGAAATAAAGCTTTCTCCCACATCCTATCCTCCACGGGGACCTCCGGGAGCGCTTCTTCCAGCGGCACCCCGAGACCCTCACTCCCACCAGCAACGGGGAGAGACGGGGCGTGTTTTCCTCCCGTAGCAATGTGACCCGAAGTCTTCCTCCAGAACCGGAACCTCCAGCCCTGGTTCTGAAAGGGGGAGCCACTGACTCCTCAAAGTACAGACCCTGCCCCCCCCCCTCTCTTTTCTGCTCTGAAATCAGTAAAAATATATTTTAAAAAAAGCACAGATCTGCCGAGTCCCATTTCAGACCCACTACCCTCAGGCTCCAGGGCTGGGCTGGCTGGAAATCTGCACCTTCAAGCTATTGCCTCCTTCCCCACCTTTTCCCTGGTCCCTCTCCCGGCCTCCGCCCTGCACTGCCCTCCGCGTGAGGAGACTGGGTGCCTAACCGAGGTGTTAGAGCCCCCTGCCCCAGGCCACCCCGCTGCCACCTGCCCACGGCGTGCAGCCCCTTAAGCGGGAGCTCCCTACAGCCTTTTCCTTCTCTGCCTTTTGCCATTAGTACCTCCACCCCATCCCACCCCACCCTCGTGCTCTGCGTACATTCCCCAGAAAGGGTGAGGCCAGACCAAATAAAAACAAAGAAATAAATAGCCGGGAATTTCCAGCCTGAAGCTGGATAATAGGTGCTGGGAGCCACGGTGTGTGTGTGTGTGTGTGTGTGTGTGTGTGTGTGTGTGTGTGTATGCACATGCCTTGTTGTTCCCAGGTGTTTGCGAACACAGGCCTCATTCGCTTCTGCTCAGTCACGTGCTTTCTTGAAGGCTGTGTCGGCTGCTGGGGTTTAAGGAAAGATCTGGTGCCAGGCTGGCTTTCCTGTAAGCGTCAGCAGCCAGACTCGCGTCTGGGGGGAGGGGCTGCCCAGAAGCCGGGAGAATTCCAGAGGGGGGCATGTTTTGGAAGAGAGAGGCCCCTCTAATACCTACGAGGGATACCCCAGAGGACAGACTAGACTTGTTTGTGGTAAGCATCTTGCTTTTTTAGCAAATAGGAAGGGAATACAGCATGGGGCTGTCTGGCTGTGTGACTTTGGGCAAGTTGCTTAACCCCTCTGGGCCTCAGTCCTCGCCTCTGTAGAGTGGGAATAGTAACAGCTTCCCTCGTGGGTGAGGATGTCACTTAGAAAAAGGACACGTCGCTATCGAGCTCTGGGTACACAGAACCTCGGATGGTGCAATAGTTATCCCCGGGGGGTTGAAACATCCTAGTCCCGTTGGCTTTGGTGACTGGATATCCAAACAAGTCTATAAAATTATAGAACTTGTATAAAGAAATGCAGTCGCCTTTGTTTTCAGTAAAGAAGGGTGAAAACATGCCACAGTGTCAATTAGGCAGATAAGAATAATTTGTATATTATTTCCCCTAAGCGCTAACAGTTGCTGTCCAAGTTGATGTACCTCTTCCTTCCAAATGGCTTTTGAACTTGGCAAGGTCAAAACTCACGAGTCCCGGGTTCGTTAAAACCAGACCAGCAAGATGTCTGAGTCTTCGACTCAGACAGACCGGGAAGTTGATGAGTTTCCAAGTCCTGGGAGAGAATCTCTGGCTTCCTGCCCTCTGAGCACGGAGGAAGGGTGCTCCTCCCGCCCCCTGGGGTGGGGGTGGGGGCCCTAATAACCACTTCTGGCCAGTGCGCCGGGAGTGGAAGTAACACGTGTCAGGACACTCAACCTTTCATTGAGAAAAGTGAGAACACTTGTGTCCCTCAGGCCCAGCCCCTGGCCACATGTCA